TTTAAAAAAAATAGAGTGTCATTTCTAGGAACACAAATTTTAAAGTTGCCTTAGGCCAACCTATTAAAAGATTTGTCAGGGGAAAAAAGATTTTCAGGCATTTCAAATATCAAAGCTGCTATTTGCCCAGTGTTGCTATAATGTGAGAAATAATTGGTAAGAAGCTTAAGGAAGTGCCGAGTAGCAGAATCTGGGCTGGAACTCCCACATTCTTCTTCTCATATTGATCACAGTGTAAAAGAAGAGATGGCCTGTGCCAGGCAATCTCACCTCTCTCGTTTTTCTTTGGGCCATTAGACCTTCATGTGAAGGTATTTTGAAACTTGGTGATGTTTCTCACCACTCTGACTTTACAGCTTTGAAATTTCAGCTTCGATGAGATGAAATGGAACTGTTTTTTGCACCAGGAGGTCACAGGGACTATTATTACCTCTTTTGCTTTCTGTAGTGTTGCTGTTTCTACCTGTTAATTTACATCCAGTGTTTCAAAGCCATTTTCTCTTGGTCTGGGTTTGCTAATAATGTTTAAGAATTGCCTGACCTTTCAATGACTTACTTTAAATACTTTGAAAGAAAAAAAAGAGAAGAAGGGATTCTTGCATCAAATGGGGTTTTAAGTTAAATGGTTTCTAAAACCTTTCACATTCTTGAGAATCCCTGAGAAGTAAACATTTTCCCTAACGGAATTTCTCCTATTTTCAAAAACAACTATTAATGTTTCCAATGTGTTGATAGAAAAGAAAGTTTTTTGGTCTGACTCTGTCTAAAACCAGCCTCATGTGTAGGCACCGAAGCAGCGATTTTCAAGGCTCCCTGGGTGTTCCCACCAGCTCAGCACCCATGTTTGAAATGCCTGCATAAGTCAGTTAACCACCTTCTGACATAGAATTTTCTTGGTCAATAAAAGATGGACCAGTGTGCTCTCCAAATATTTTTCCAGGTTCAAATTTCTATGAATCAATATGAGATGAATTAGGAAATTAGTAAAGGCTATTATACTTTCTTCCATATAAATCAAATATTTGGTTACTCTCTATAATATATAAGATACCATGCTTTGTTTGTTAATCCTCACTGGAGGATGTTTTCCCATTTATTTTTTTAGAAAGAGTGGAAGGGAGGGGGAGAGAGAGAGAAAAAAACATTGATGCAAGAGAGATATGTTGATTGCTTGCCTCCTGCACATGCCCCGACCAGGGCCAGGGATCAAGCCTGCAATCAAGGTATATGCCCTTGACCAGAACCAAACCTGAGACCCTTCAATCCAAGGGCCAGCACTCTATCCACTGAGCCAAACTGGCTAGGGCAGTACTATGCTTTTATTTCATGCAAAAATTAAAATGTTATAGCCAGAAAATCAAGCCAATAAAAATGTAAGCATCACCTTAGAAACCCTGACAAAGAAAGCAAATGATAGAGATAGTAGCGGGAAGGGTTGGGAGTAAATTCTACAATTCATGGTCTAAATTAAATTATAAATTAGTTTCCCATCTCTATAATGGTAGTACACTAAATGTTTTTAACTGTTAATAAAGGGCAGCTGTTTATAAAGGACTTAGAATTTTATGAATTATGGCAGAGCAAATATAAATGTGATTTGGGAATCTTAAAACTAGTAATAATCACAGTGCTTTTTAAAAAGTATACAAACTCTTTTTAGTCATAATGGTTCTAACATTACAGATATCACTGTCAGAAACCAGCTTTTCTCCTAACAGAGTGTCTTCCTTTTGGAAATAATGTTAGGGAAAGCCAGCCTGTGTTCATGACCCTGTCCCATCTCTTCTCCTCTGTCTTTCCCATGCTGCCCTCTACCCACAGGCACAATTCCACCTCTGTGTCTGTCTAATTATAAGTTCTTCACACTATCTGTGCGCTTTTCAGAATTAACTCTTCCCACCAGACCTGACTCCCTGGTTCTTCCCTCATGCAACTTCCTGACTCAGGTATGCCTTGGAGGCGTAGGTTTTCTCCTCTCCCCTCTCCCCTGGTTGGCTTGTCCATGGACACAGCACCTGCCTCAGTTGCCCTGTCTGCTTTCTCACCTTCCTTACCCTCCTCGTAGGATCAGCCAAGTCCCGCCAGGCCATCCTGCAAAGTAAGCCGTCGATAGCTGAGAACCGAGCGAGAGACATAATTTTCCAATATTGTGCTGGTCTTCCAGTGTAAGCACCCATTTCTCTTTTCAGCAGAAGTTCTGATGTTTTCTTGGGACCCCCTTTCTCCCATTCTAGCCCAAGGAGACGGGCTGAGCCTCTGTTCTAACAGGGAATGGAGTTGGGGACCCAAGATAAGCTCTCCCCACAGCAGCTGGTTCAGAGGTAGGAATATGGCCAAGCAGAGAAAAATGTCAGATTCCCCTGGAAGTGGCAGGATCGTTGCTCCCTTTTCTTTGGTGAAATTTAAACCGGAAGGCTTGTAACTGAAGCAAGTTTGATACTAACATTTGCAGGTCACAGGGCAAGGAAACCAATGGAGACCTATGTTCTAAGCCAGTGGTTCTCAACCATCCTAATGCCGCGACCCTTTCATACAGGTCCTCATGTTGTGGTGACCCCCAACCATAAAGTTATTTTTGTTGCTACTTCATAACTGTAATGTTGCTACTGTTATGAATTGTCATGTAAATATCTGATATGCAGGATGCATTTTCGTTGTTACAAATTGAACATAATTAAAGCATAGTGATTAATCACAAAAACAATATGTAATTATATATGTGTTGTGCGATGGTCTTAGGCAACCCCTGTGAAAGGGTCGTTCGACCCCCAAAGGGTCGCGACCCACAGGTTGAGAACCACTGTTCTAAGGAGAGAACATATGCCTAAACATGAAAATTATAAAATAAAACTCACAGTTAAATACAAATTGTTATTTTCCCTATCTGGACAAACCTATTTTCATAATTACTTGGAAGTTCGGGTTTAAATTCTCAGACTTTGGAACATGGCAGGTGAAAATCTCACGCATGCCTTGGCCCATCTCCTCTCCTCACTCCTGCCTCAATCTGCACCAAAAGAGGACTCCTGAGCCATGTAAAACACCCAGCCTGTTCGTCTGAATTCCACACACCGCCTGTGCATCAGCTACAGTATACAAACTGGCAGTTTAGTTCTCTCTCAGGTAGATGGGCCCGGGGCTGAGAACTAACTCAGAGAATTGGGGCAGAGAATTCTCAGGTACATGGCTCCATCCTTCTGTGATCTAGAAGGATGTGAAGATGGTTCCAGGGGAGTCTGCTTTGGACTCCAGAGGCGCTTTGGCCTCTGGGGAGGGACAAGGTTGGAGGAGAGCCAGAGAAGAGCTGCCTGTAGTATAGGGTCCAGGGGAGGGGCCCTTCAGCCTGGATCTAAGGGTGGTACGTCGCTGCAGGCAACCACCAGGGTAGGAGCTGCCTTAGAAAAAATCTAGCACACCAGAAAAGGGCTAGCCAGACCAAAAGATGGCGAGACCTGGGTTATGGTTACATCATGTGAGTCTCCACATAAGCCGCACCTAAAGCCAACCCTATCCTGGAACTGTCCATTTTTATGAGCTCATTCATTTGGCTTTGGCACAAGCCAATTTGGGGTGAGGTTTCTGTCACTTGAGGACTGAAAGAATCATGTCTGACAGGCTTCTTGGTGGTGGTGTGTGAATGACTCATGTCTGGGCTGCTCTGCTTCCTAAAACTGTGGGATTAACCGTGATCTAGCCAATCTCTGCAAATGAAAGAGTCTGTCTCCCAGCCCCTACACCCTGGCGAGGAGGCAGTTCTATGGCCAGTGTGAAGTAGCTTCCTCGTCAGCCCTGTTCTGCCCAGGTACCAGCCTGCCTCATACCTATTCCTTCTCACTTACAAGGGGAAGGGGCTATCAACTCCCAACAATAATCCGCTCATTAAATTTTTGCTAAAAGTATAACACCCAACAGTTGAGCCAATTGCAAATATGCTACAATGTGATAAATTACAAAGGCTACAGTCTTGAAAACATCAATTCCTCACCATCAGCTTCTGCCGTTTAGAGTGCAGTCCAAACATGTGGGAAGGAAATTAATGCTCCTATTTTTAAAACTGGTTCTTCTGTTTATTGACAGGTGGTAGCTATCATTTAAGAAGATGTACATTTGTGTACAAACGTCGTGTTTCCTATGTCCCTCTCCAATGGTCTGTCTGATTTTTGTACCAGTTAATAAAAGTTCGGCTCAGAATTCTGGGCCCCAGAAGTTAACTTCTTGAGGTCATATGAAACACTGTGTGAAAATGAATATAGAGAATGAATGAATGAATGAATGGAAAAGCATATAATACTTTATCAATTTCCTTTGATGTGTCATGATGTTCCCTGTGAAATCATGCCCTAATGAAATGTGTCACTTTGTTTTAATAAAAAGAAAAATGTTGAGGATGAGAAGGCATGCATGTGTATTTTTTTAAATAAATATCATAACATAAACTTGTTAGGGTGTTAGTCCAACCACAACTCATCCCCAGTTCTCTAAGAAACAACTTCCCTGCCCCTGTGGATACAGGGTATGTCTGTTCTGTCTATACAACATGCCTCACCACCACCCCTTTCATCTTTGGCCACAAAGAGGAAGGGGATGTGAGCAGGGATAAAGCTGATGAACAAAGTAACAGAGATGAGACATCCAGAGGGACCAGAGGTCGATACAAAGCAAGCGTGATGGCCAAGGGTCTTGACGGCTTTCCAGTTCCTCGGTCCGCTCTCACCCCAGGGCCACCTTCAGTTCCTTCCTGTTGGCTCTAAGAGACACCCCGCCCCCCTACAGCTTCCTAGTAACATCTGTTTTTGGCCCCTCTTTAGGCTAGCCCTGGTAGTTTTTTGCTATTTTAAGTGGATATTCTCAAGAAGTATATGCTTTTTAAAAGTTTGTCTTTTAACTTGCATACAGTCATGGATTTTTTTTCAGCTCATTCAACTTTGAAGAAAGAGAGATTTGGTTTTGGTCTGAGCACATCCTGAAATCCCATGATTACTGTCACTTGCACAAGAGTTTGCTCTTCTGCTATACAGAAAGTGCTATTTGAAGCAATCATTTTTACTGTGGATAGTATGAGGGATACAACTTGCAATGTTCTTGGGATTTTAAAATAAAGATCTCTCCCCTGAACTTCTTGGCAATAATTAGCTGTCTAATCAATTGCTGATATCCACAGTGACTCAAATCAGCAGCAAAACTTGAAAATATTGATCGTGACCTTCTGGTTTTAATGGTTTCTGTGTACTCTGTATGTAAGTGATTCTAGTGCCTGTTGAAGCTGTCCTCAGTGGTTCTCCCTTCTGAGGTTTTGTATTACTTTCCTAGGGCTGTCATAACAAAGTACCACAGACTGGATGGCTTAACAACAAAAATTTATGTTCTCACAATCCTGAAGGACAATAGTCTGAAATCAAGGTGTCAACAGCATTGGTTTCTTCTGAGGCCATTCTCCTTAGCTTGTAGATGGCTGTAGTCTTCCTCTGTCTTCACGTGGATTTTTCTCTGTGCTATTTGTGTCTTGTATTACTTTCCTAGAGCTGTCATAACAAAGCACCACAGACTGGATGGCTTAACAACAAAAACTTATTTTCTCACAATCCTGAAAGACAATAGTCTGAAATCAAGGTGTCAATAGCATTGGTTTCTTCTGAGGCCATTCTCCTTAGCTTGTAGATGGCTGTATTCTTCCTATGGATTCTTCACGTGGATTTTTCTCTGTGCTATTTGTGTCCAAGTTTCCTCTCCTTTTTTTTTCTGTTGTTTTGTTAATCCTCACCCAAGAATGTTTTTTCCCATTGATTTTGTTAGAGTGAAAGGGAGAGAGGGAAGAGAGAGAGAGATGGGAGAGAAGCATATTGATTGTTTGCCTCCTACACACACCCCAGCTGAAGCCAGGGACCAGACCTGCAACCCAGGTACATGCCCTTGACCAGGAATCAACCTGAGACCCTTGGGTCTGTGAGCCAACGTTCTAACCACTGAGCAACACTGGCCAGGGTGAAATTTCCTCTTTTAAAGACACCAGTCATAATGGGTTAGGGCCACTCTAATGACATCATTTAACCTTAATTATGTTTTTAAAGACCCTATTTCCAAATACAGCCACATTCTGAGGTAGTTGAGGGTTAGGACCTCAACATACTAATTTTTTTGGTGGGAGGAGAGATAATTCAGTCCATAACATTTTTTTTTCAGTGTCTTAATTATTTATTTGGTGTCATT